TTTTGTGCAATAATAGCAGGAAAAGCACAGGTATTGAAACCTTTCCCTGGCCAAAGTGTGGGTGTTGAAACATTTTCTCTGCGGTGTTGCAATGAAACGTGAGGTTTGAACTTCACTGTGAAAGTGTTGAAACATTCGAAAGGATAAAACATCCAGCGAGTGTGGGTGTTGAATCTTTAACCGTGAAAAGTGACCAGGAAAAAAAAAAATTGATATTTTGAACCCTTTCACCAGGAAATAGTTTGGGTGTTTTAACACCCACACACCCTGTGGGTGCGACAAAAAGCGAGAATTGAAACCTTTCACCGGGAAAGTGTGGGGACACTGTTTCGAACAAAGCCGGATTATTGATTGTGGCTGTGCCGGATGCAAACAAATTTTCAACTGACCATTAGGCTGCACCTGTACAACTTGTGCTCGAAAGTCTTTACGTCCCTCTGAGTCTTAAAAAGATCGTCTGGTAAATCTCATCTCTGATACTGATGTGGCCGCTCGCATTCGACAATCAGACGAGAAAGAAATGGGGAAAAAAAAAATCATAAAGTGCACCTTTTCGCGGTTTGTTTTGGAAGGTCAAACAAACCGCCACGAAGGACGTGTGCATTTGCTTGCTTTTTATCCTGAAGTCTTGTGTGAGCCTCTGCAAAGGCAAACGTACATTAGTGGGTTTAATCCGCCGCCCCGGGCCTAATTTAACTGCTTTTTAAAAGTGGTGTTTACTCAAAAGGCGAAAGTCAGCCTGTATGCTTAGGTTTTTCTTTTGGCACATTCCCGCACTTCCCGGTCTTTGAAGAATACGTCAATACGTCGGCAAAGACCTAATGAACGAACCCAAGTTGCGGTAATGACGCACCACATGTGTATGATCACCCCCAAAAACGTGAGCTTATGTGAAGAATTTTAGCACGTCCGTCCCTCCTTGGACCAGCAGTGGGACACCAAGGCAGCGTGAACGGTTTACGATTCAAACAATGTTTCCTCTCACTTCTATGTACAATATATAACTTAATTATAAATATGGTCATTTCTTCTCTATTAGTACTTAAGTTGTTGAGCTGTTTTGTATTCTGCCGAGCAATGTACAGTATTGAACATGTAGTATTTTATTACATTGAATAGAGTCTACTAGCGACCGCGGTTAAGAGCGCACAAGATAAGAGTACCGGTCCGAGAAGATGTTCCTGTGCAGTTTTTGGAAGAAGCGCACTGGTCGTTGTCCAGAGCCTGGACTCAAGTCTGTGAGCATTACAGGATGGTCAAGTCATGGCGTTTCAGTCAGTCAAGTTCAAGTCCAAGACCTTAAGAGTGTGAGTAGCCCCTCTCGCACCAGTTCTACCAAGTCTTTTTTTTTTTCCTGTTGCTAAGAGTTTCTGTGCGTCGCGATCCGAGCCGTCACACGTTGGACTCCACAAACGGTCTCTTTGGTTTGATGGGTGAGGAGGGCCCTTGCGTGCGGGATTCTCGGGAGAGTTGGCGGTACATGTTGTCCTGGTAGGCCTGCGCTACAGGCAGAGTCCTGGCCACCTTCACGTCCGGGTAGGTGGGCACTTGGCTGACTCGCTCCAGGATGTCCCCGGTGCCGCGCGAGCCGTTGGCCAGCTTGCCCAGCGAGGGCGGCGGTGTCTGGGCGTAGTAGTCCTCCTCCAGGAGGTGGCCGTTCTGCGCGTTGTTGGTCTTGTTGTAATAGGCAATGTTTCCCAGCGAGGTGGGCGGGCTGTAGGTGGACCCCTGTTGGACCAGTTGGCCGGGCGAGGTGGGGCTGACTGCAGAGTCCATGGACGTCATGGCGCGGGACCGGGAGGGCTGGTGCAGGTACTGCTGAGTCCGCGCTGTCTTGTCTATGACGCCCATGAAAGGGGTGTTACGGGAGCGGGTGGGCTCGCCCTGATACAGACCCCCGCCACCCTGCGAGGGAGAGATGGGCGACATGTCGTCGCAAGGCCGCTCGTAGGTGGCCTGTAAGGGGATCTCCATTTGCTGGATGGAGGAGGATGGCCTGAAGCCCGGTGCCAGGTTTGAGCTGGAGCCGGTGGAGATGTTGTTACTGGAGGGGGAGAAACGAAGGCCTACGCTTTGCGAGTGGATGAGTGGCCTCGGGGTGGGCACGTGCGGCTTTATCTCGGTGGTGTTGGCACTGACGGGGCGTCTCACCATATGCGGGACCTCGGGGGAGCCCAGCTGGCAAGGCGGCACGGCATTGGCTCGGTCCAGCACGTGCTCAGAGACCGGGTAGTAGGCGGCGGACTGGCTGCGACTGATCTGAGGCGTCTGACTGTAACGGATGCCCGCCGGACCCCCGCTGCTGGCGCGGTAGGCAGAGGAGGGGCGCTGGGGTAGCTCGTCTTTCAACAGGCCCGACTCCATAACCCCTCCTCGGCCGCCGTGCTGACAGAGGGCGCCAGAGCTGAGGCTGGCTTGCACCTGCGACATAGAGCGCCCGTCCAGCGAGGGCTGGTACACCAGTCGGCTGTCCATATCCACCGAACCGCCCTGGTAACGGCTACCGATGGAATGACCCATCTGCCCCCCGTAGCCGCTGTTGCCCATCACGCTGCCGGGCTGGTTTGTGCGCACGATTTGGGCGATGGAGGGCTGCAGACGAAGGCCTTGGGCTTGGTGGTGCTGGGACGACAGCGAGGGCTGAGAGCTGAGCTGGAAGGAGCGCTGGCTGCTCATTTTGGACAGGGGTGATTTGGGCCGACCGGGGTGCTGCTCTGTCTGGTAGCGCACAGGCGAGCCCGACTGAGATCTGTACAGGCAAACGCTGTCCACTGGCGGACTGGCTCTGTACTGGGCAGCCCGGCGCAGAGGAGACGGCGGCGGGCTCTGGCGGTCCATCCCCTGCCCGCCGCCGCCCACGGGCGGCGGGCTGAAGCGGTAGGACGGCTGTTGCACCGGGGAGGTGTGCGGCGGGCTGTGTCGATAGTGAGAGTTGTGATGTGTCGGGGAGAGGGAGGGCGGTGTGGTCTGGTAAGACCCATGGGTAGGGGAGGACATGGAGGAGGAGGTGGGGTGGTACTCATAAGGCTGCCCCATCGGAGAACCTCCAGGTCGGTAGATCTGGTCTGCGTGTGTGGGGGACAGTGGAGGGCTCTGGATGATGGGGAGACTGGAGGGATTGCTGAGGGAATCCGGTGGGGGCAGACCCATGGACATGGCCTCAAGCTCCTGCTCGAGGTAGTCCTCATCCTCAAAGAGATCCTGGACAGGCTCCATGTCCTCCAGACGGGGCTCCGGGGGAGGCAGGAGAGGCATGGGGAGGGACAGGCACTCTTCGTCCTCTGGGGGAGGCGTCGGAGGCGGGGAGGGGGGAGGCTCCAGTTCCAGGTCTGGAGGCTGGAGCTCCCCCTGGCTCAGCTGGTGACACTCCTCCTCCACGCGTTGCAGCAGCCGCTGGATCTCTCGGTTGTTGGGGCACTGCTTCATGGCTTCGTTCAGGTCCTCTAAGGCTTCGGGAAACTGCCTGCAAGTGTCGTGGAATATTCGAAATAATTATTTGTCAAACTTCTTTCAGATGGATCGATTGGCTTTCAGTAATGCTGGAAAGAGTGACTTGGAAGAGTGGCTCCTATATGTGAAAATGACTTTCTCTTCAAAGATTGATTTCAGATCTCCTCGATAGCGGAACGAGTATTTTTTTTCCATTACACAAGTCACCCAGATAACAATGTAGTCCCGTGGTGTGAAATCGACAGACCGGGGGCCATTTGCAGCCCCCTGTCCATTGTTGAAAAGCCCACGGCATCTACAGTACTGATAATAATTTTTGTTATTCAAAAAAGGGGTGGGGTTAGGGTGGGTAGCATTAGAAGTGTACTGTTGAAAAAATGAAGAGATGTGAATCATGGGCATTACGATCACTACTACTACTATTACTACTCTTTTCTAGGTATGCAAAAAACACAAATAAATTTACAGCTAAAATAGAAACAGAATATTTCTTCATAGCACTGTGGAAAATAAACATAATTTGAGTTTTAGACCGCCACAAAACCTAAAAGAAAACCCTGAACTATTTGCCTTATCAACTTTGAAAGCCTTGATGTAGCAGTTTTTTGAAAATAACTAAATTATATAATTGCTTAATTTGTTTGACCATGTAAAGTTAAAAAAAAAATCAAACTGGCCCTTGCATCTTTCTATTTTATTTATTTTTTTATGTGGTCCTCTGAGGAAAAAAGTTTGGACACTCCTGATGGAAGCAACATTGGAGATTGACAACAAGCAGACTGGGGAGTCTCCTCGGCGTGCGTACCTGCTACTACGCTTAGCCCGGGCCCTGGCATAGTAGGCCTCGAAGGATTTCGGTTTCAGTTCAAGGGCCTTGGTAGCAAATTCCTCAGCCATCCCAAAGTCCTGGACGTAAGAAAGCAACACTCAACTCGGGGGCCGGTGGAAAAAACCACATTGATGTAAACAGTTTTCAGGATCGTCCCTGACTCACGTTCATTTTCCTGCGACATCGGGACAGGTTGAGGAAGAGCGAAACCTTGAGCTCCCTGAACGTCTTGAGGTCCTCGCTGAAGCCTTCGCGCGGGAACTTTTTGAGTGCGTACTGGTAGCGTTGTGCTGCCTCCTTCACCTTCCCCTTCTGTCGGGAAAGCCAAACAAATTCACAAGTACAGTGAATCCCTGTCTATCTATCGATATAAATAGTTTTATCACACACCTTGTAGAAGCCGTCGCCCTCCTCGATGAGTTTGCTGAGCAGGATGATCATGATGTCGGGTTTGGAGGTGGCCATTGCCCACGTGGCCGGACCTGCGTCACAGGGGAAGACGGGAAAGTGAGGATTGACAGCACTTTGGGAAAAATAAAGCAAGGAGTAGAAGGAAGAGAGGAAGGAAGTCAAAACGACACACGCACACAGACACATACAGACACAATCATCTGAATGAGAAATGCGGCGTACCCCACCAGACATTTTCTGGACCGTCTTGCACATTTAAGTGAAAACACAAAGTGTGATCTTGGATCGCTCTCACGTGTTACTGCAAACGTCTCAAAATAGGATCCAGTGGATCGGGGTGGGGTACGGAAACAATTATCATTTCAACGGGTGGTGGTGGGGAGGGGACTAAAAATGGTAGATGGAGGAGGAAAACAAGACAATCCACTGTCGAGAGAAGATTACGGCTTTGAAACTGGAAGCTATTGCTTTCTGCAACAGTGTCTCATGACAGAAATGATGAGGACCTGCTTCTCAAAGGGTTAGCCACCCCAAACATCATTCATATTTGATATAAACAGTGTCACCCGGAAAGTAGTCGCAGTGCTTCACCTTTTCCATATTTTGTTATGTGAAAGCCTCATGACAACATTAAGGACATTTTTTTCACCCTCAAAATTTGACACACAACGCCCCATAATGACAACATGACAAGACATAGTCTGAGAATTTTGTAAATGAAAAAAAAGGGAAATAACAGCAAGAACATACATGTCAAAGACCGAATACTTACTTTCATTAAAAAAATAAATAAATAAATAATGTGGTCATTATAGCGTGTCGTGTGTTGAATTTTGAGGGGAAAAATGGATTTTTTTTTCCATTATGGAATAACAGTGGTGGGCAAAGTTATCAAAATTCTCAGAGTATTTGTTGCATTCATTTATCAAATGTTCATGCATTCATATATCAAATGTTCCTACAATTTGTTAATTGAATTGTTATCTCATATATATATATATAATTGGTTGAATATTTTACACCTACAATATTAAAATATTCATCAAATGTTACTTTTATTTTAATGAATTCGATTACAAATATTTGGTTAATTTATTGTGATACAATTAAAAATATTTGGTGACTTGGCCATTTAAATTGATTTTATTCAACATTTTGTTAATTAATTACAAATTAATGGTAATGGATGGATCTAACCATAACTATTGTACATTTTTAAATGCATACTTTTATTTTATTTATTTTGTTTGCCATGTTTTTTTTTTTCCTAATATAGAATTGAACCGACCATCTGCCCATTTTACAATTTCACAATTATGCATTTGAGCCCGGGCCTCCTCTCACGTAACAAAATATGAAAAAAAGTAAGGTGCTGTGCATCCTTTCTGGATGCCCTGTTTTAAGTCAGGCTGAAGTCATTAGAAGTGTATCAGCAATCTGTGAGACACACACAAACAAACAAAACACCACAAAGGCACAACTGGGCGATAGGAAAACAAGGCGGCAGGAGGAGTCCCGCCGCTGGAGGTGAGGGGCGTCGAGTGACGTCAGGATGACTGAGCGCGACCTCGGTGCGCGGCAGCGGCGGGTACAATGTCGTGCATGCACTTCCTGCTAAAAAAAACAAACAAACACAAAACAACAACAACAAAACATCCACGCAGTCAGTGTCGCTCTGAGGCTTCTGTCATGCATCCATGCTGCCAGGAAGCGGCTCGGACCATCTACCTCAAAGCGTACACCTATTAGTCACTTTAGTTAGCTAAAGCTAAAAGCTGGCCCGCCGACGCTCGGGAGGAAACACAGACAACACAGAGAAAGGAGATAGAGCTGTCAAAATGCCTGCTGGGGTGGGAAGTCGACAGCCTTGGCTTTACCTCGGGGCCGACTGGGCAGTGTCTGACATCCTGGGACCGGAGAGAGAGGCGAGTCGGGGGAGGTGGCGGGGGGGTTTAAAGGGCAGGGGAGGAGGAAGAGTGTGGGAGTGTGGAAGAAGAAGAAGAAAAAGAGAGAGAAAGAGGCAATGGTGGTGGAGGAGTGAGAAAAGAAACACAAAAAAAAGCAGCAGTGAGAAGCAAAATAATGAAAAATAACCAAAGAAATACTGTACATCACAAGCGCTGTTCACGTCCTGCTTGCGGGGCAGAAGAACAGAAAATGCAACTGAGAGAAGGTTGACAAAAGTACATGCAGGAAAGAGAAAGTAAGACGACAATAAACACAAATAGCAGCAGCCGTGGTGGGAAGTGGGGATGACGTAAGACGACACTGCAAAAACTGGACAATCGGTTGGTCAATTCTTTTCTGTGGAATACATTGAGGGCACTCATGGTCTCGCCTTTTGACTGTTTTGAGCGGGAAAATGACCCATAATCTTGTTTCTTGATGAGGACAAGTGGCACATTTAAAATAAATGTCTTGCAATGTACTCCGGTGATGGTGTTGCAATGGGAGTGAGTGGTCTGCCATGCGCCTCATGCTCCGGTTGCAGCAGGCACATGAGTGGAGTGGCCACAAAGTGAGAAGATGTGCGTGCTCTCACCTATCTTGGCGCCTTTTTTCAGCAGGGCCACCACCACCGACGTGTTCCTGCAGCCCACTGCCCGGTCCAGAGGACGCATGCCGCTGTAGTCCACGTGCTCGATCATGGCGCCGTGGTCCACCAAGAACTGGACCTGAAGAAGATTATGTATGTGAATATGGAGTCTCGCTCGACATTTCGTGTGTGTCCCCGCGCTCGGTTCACCGACCACATCAGAGTCGCCGTAGAAGGCGGCCAGGTCGAGCGGCGTTCGGCCGTTTTTGTCGGCGTGGTCGGTGGCGGCTCCGCTTTCCACCAGGCATCGGACCACCGGCAGGTGACCCTTGAGACAACCCCAGCTGAGCGCCGTCAGACCCTCCTTGTCCGTCAGAGAAAGGGAAGCTCCTGGGAAGGAAGCGAGCACTGAGATGGTATTCTCCTCAAGTAAAATGTATTAAGGTTGGCATTTCGAAGTGATTTTATGCTCATTCGCGATTTAAAACACATTGCTTTCATCATATGTGGGTATACAATGAACCCATAATATGTGCGGCTCAGCATTCACAAATTCTCGGAACAATTTGGGAACCTATCCTCTGTAAAAATGCACCGTTGCACTGTTTAAAAATGTTGATTTGACGGCGTCAATTTCAGGAGTTCCATTTTGACAGTGTAGTGAAGTGGTGCTTGCCACCATCACGTGACACTTTTGTGCCAAAGACCTACGTTGAAGTGAGGTGAGGAGTTTCCTTTGGACAAAGGTAATGCTTTTCTGCTATACCCCCCGCCCCCAATTCACGAATGTTCTTCAGCTACACTGATGCGAGCGCAAACGGCACTGACCTTGCGAGAGCAAAAACTCCACCGTTCCCAAGTGTCCTTCCGAGGCGGCCATCATGAGCGGCGTGCGGCCCTGTTTGTCCGCCAAGTTGACGTCGGTTCCGTGTGTCAGGAGAAGGTCCACTATCTGACAAATAAATGTGATGATTACTTTACGATTAGTGTGACCGTCACTATCATTCTCGAAGATGCTGACCTGCCAGTGGCCCTGTCGGACGGCGCTGAACAGCGGCACGATGCCTCGCCGATTGGACTGGGCCACAGCGGCACCTTGCTCCAGCAGCAGGCGGCACACTTCCAGCTTGCCCCGACCCGAGGCTGCCGTCAGAGCTGGATGAGGAAGCGGAGGAGGAGCAATGTCATAGGACAGATACGCTCGACGGGATATGTGTGACGCCTGCACTTACCTGTCTCGCCCCAGAGCGAGTCAAAGTTGTTGATTTGTGCCCGCTCCACCTCCTCCTCGTCTTTCTCCGGCAAGTCCAGCAGGTAGGACACAATCTGATTCGAAATTTGGAAAAAAAAAAGGTTCAGAACTGACAAAAAAGTGTTGCCATAATACTAACTGATGTAAAGCTAAAAAACACTGAAATCATCTTTTCCTCCTGAAGTGAATGGAAATGCCATTTATCCGTTCCAGACCCCCATAACATGTTTCAAATAGGGAAAAAAATGGCACTATATAGTACTGCACGTTATAAAATCACACTGTATAAACAAAACAGTTTGTGCATTGTGATTTCATGCATTGATTCTGCAGCTAGTTCTGGTGTGTGCTTTGGCCAGCAAGGAGCAATACAAGGTGGTCACAACTGCTCACTACAACTGCAGCAATATTAGTCATTTTTGTTTCTTCGCAGAGGCTAAAGAATATGTGACTATCGTCATTTATCTTTCTACATGTGTCGCTGCAATGTTTGTGTTTAGATATCTGTTGCATGACCAGTTAAAACACCGCAACATCGATGCTCATTTTGTTAGCCGGTCCACAGCATTTTGTTTTAAGTGTTAGCATTCAGCTAGCCAAGTTATGTGGTCTCATTATATGTATTCATTTAATTTAATTTGTTGGCAAGCCCATAAAATATGCCTCAGGAGTCTCTGCGGTTGTACCTCGGTGTAGCCCATACTGGCGGCAGCGACGAGGGCCTGCTGGACGGCGTGGCTTTTGGTGAAGGTGGCCTGCTGCTGGGTCTGCGGCGAGTGCTGCGCCGACCCGCCGCTCCAGTCGCACTGGATGAGGAACTTTACCACCTCCATGTGGCCCCGGAGGGCGGCGTGCACCAGCGCGCACTGCCCGTTCCTGTCCAGGTGGTCCACCTGGAGGCACATCAGACCGTTGGTGAGTGCTCATGAAATTTAAAGCCTGTCATTGTCTATGACTTTGTCAAATAAAACTTTTAAATTGATGGAAGAAGTTAAAACTTGTAGCTGTGTCTCTTTCGTTTGACAAGTATTCCCCGCATGGTGCCGTCTGCTTTTTCACAATTTTATTGCTCGAGTTCAAGTCTCTTGAATACCTAGTCCAAAAATTGGCTTCGGTCTGACTCAAGTAAAAGCCTGTAACACGCACCTTGGCTCTCATGCGGCACAACGCCGTCACGATGGCCATGTGACCCCCGGCGGCGGCATAGCCAAGAGGCGTCAGGCCACTCTCGGAGGGTGCGTCGGTATAGGCGCCGAATTCCAGCAGCAGGGCCACCATGTCCATGTAGCCCAGGTGGGCGTGGACGCACAGCACGGGAGCATTGTTGAGCACCTCCGTACGGTAGTTGACGTTGGCCCCGCCCAGCATCAGCAACCGACTCACCTGCAAACACACACACACATGCATCAACCTGATATGAGTGACAGGTTAGCCTTTAGTGGTGCAACAAATGTGCTGGGCTGAAAAATAAATAAAATGAAAACAAATGATTTATTAATATACTGTATTGTAAAATTAATGGCCCATGACATATTCGATTTTTTAATCTAAATTAAATATATTGAATCATTCATCTCTGAATTATTATAAAAAAACGACGACACACACACACACTTTAAATTTAAATAAATCCAAATCGTTTGTGGTGAACTCAAGCATAGGTGCTCACCTTGATGTTGGGCGTGTAGAGGTTCCTCAGTGACGAGAGAGCTGCCGACAGGCCCTCCGTGCTGTAGGACACCCATAGGCCTTGCAAGATGGACGAGGACACGCCCACTTTCTTACTGAGACCCTTGAACAGATAGCATACTCCAGCTGGAAATTTTGTGTGTTTCAAAATATATGCACACAAGAAAACGCAAAGGAATGTTACAGCTGCAGTTGCTTTTTAAGGTGCCGTCGGCGTACTAGAAGAACAATGTACGTCCATTGCTGTGACTTTGGTGAACATCAAATCACATCGTATGAACAATCGATGCAGGAATCCCGATTATTTCAAAGGTTCAGAGACTTTTTCTTGGAATTGGATGAGTGTTTGTGAACGTGGAGGCCAGCCAATACCTTGAAGATATGTGCTTTGAGGATGTGGTGGCCCAGCTCGATTGTCTGCTGCCGGTTCAGCTTGTTCTCTTGCCTCGAGAACCAGAAGGCCAGCAGGGTGTGGCCGCTCCTGTGAACGCACAGCCAGAACAAACTTTGAGCCGCTTGAGTCATGAAAATGCTTATTTGCAGGTGGGATTTATAGCATGACAACCTTCCTAAGGGGGAAAAAAAAAAAATCCTAACCTTGATGGTGACTAATGAGATGCATCTATTTATGCCTGACTGAGTAATGTAGCATTGGAGGTACATTTCTGGATGGATGAATCACAGACTATTTTTGGGCTTTAACCGCATTGCGTTGGTCATCAGAAATGTTGACTATCAATTAATAATTCAGGGTCGGGCACATATGGGTACGACAGACACAAACATGTTCTTTTTGTTGTAAATTGTAAAGTGTTGACTTTTAATTTTAGATGGGAATATCATTTTATCACCCTTTTAAAATAATGGCCAAAGTCCTATTTCGATTCTGGAATGAAATTATTCATAAATATAATAAGCAGTTGGGGTTCAGGTTTTTGTGAATTAGGAAGGTGACAATATTTAATCTTTTTTTTTTTAGCCCCGATCTCACAGATATACGCAAGAAACACATTCCAAATGAAAGCCAGTGTGTGTGTACTCCCCCCCCTCCCCAATAAATTGGTGATTCCCGCATTAAAGCAACAACTACAACAAAACAATCTAATCTGACCTGGGATCACACAGGAACTTGGTCTTCTCGCCTTCCTCGCGCCATATTAACCACTCCCGGAAGGACGGGTGGACAAACATGCGGGTGCCGTCCCGCCTCTTCACCAGGAAGACGGACAGGTTGTCCACACGCTGCTGGAAGTCCTCCCAGTCCAGCGTACCCTGGATGAGCACCACGGTTAGCACATAGCTTCGCCGTTTAACATCTCGTGTCAAGAATGTGGATCGGGTCGGACCTGCAGCGAGCCGGCGTTGATGGCTTGGTAGATTTGCTCGTCGGTGAGCGGGTGCAGCGAGGCCACAGCCACGTTGAGCAGAGGCAGCGCCCGCTCAAACGACGACTGCGTGGGGAAGCGCATGTTGCACTGCAGCAGGTACACCTCGGCCAGGTTGACCGGAACCACCTGAAGAAGCAAAGAAGAATCAGGTTGGAAACTTTGGAAGGGCGAGAATGGTTCTGTTGGAATCCCTGCTCTGTATTAAATATTGAAATTACGGAATAAAAAAATCACGAGATATGTTCCGCAGCTGAATCAGTCCCCTGTATTAAATATAAAACGCATTGAACGTCAGCAAAACTGAGCCATCGGCTGATTTTTGTTGTTTGTTTTTTTTTTTTTTTTGTTGCCTGCCCATCACACAACAAAAAGTTGTTTTTGTTTTGTTTTTGCGTGGGGGGTGTCACCTTGTAGCTGGAGCTCTTGAGGACCAGGTAGCCCTTCTCAATAAGGTCAAAGGTGAGCTTGAGGTACAGGTAGGAGCCCTGACTGAGGGCCTTGAGGTGTCCGCTGAGTTTGCCGAAGGTGGTGTTGTCCATCTTGCCGTTGAGCGAGATGTTGTTCTGGATCTCCAGGCTACTGTGAATGCGGTGCAGGATGTAACCCTGCAGGTCCTGATCGATGGCGTCGTTCTCCTCGAGGCCATCCAGCGAGATGCGGTGGAACGGCAGCGGGTTGGTGATCTCTTGCAAGGTGGTCCGCACCGTGACGACCAGCTTGAGCCAGGGGGGGAACTTGTGGATGGTCTTGCAGAGGAAGGAGACAATGGTGTCGCCGTAGTCGGGCTTGTGGAACTCGGCTTCGTTCAGGCCATCGATGAGGACGATCAGGTCCTCCTCTGAGTTGATCTTCCTCTCTGGAGAGTAAAAAAAAAAAAATGTCATCGATACATATAATATACCTGTATATATATAAAATGTGTGAATGCACTTGAAAGCCCATTGATCCAAAAATTCAAAAAGGTGACAAATCCAAACGTTACCTTTGTAGAGAGCATCCAAGGGTTCGAGTACGCCCCTCCTGAAGGATGCCAAGGGGTCCTGGACGCAGGAGCGCAGGCTCAGCACGCTCTGCAGGTGTGGCTCGCGCAACATCTGCTCCCGGTAGGCCGCCAGGTGAGGCGAGCGGCACAGCAGCGCCGCCACGTTGTGCACAAATTCGGGCACCAGGCAAGTGTAGGCATTGTCCGCTTGGCAGTAATGGTATGCCACCACCTGCAGGGGCCGACAGAGGAAGGGGGGGTGGGGGGGGAACAGGAAGTTGACACTGCCGTTCCATTTTGCTTTTCAGATATTAATAATTCATTACTTTCGTCTGCAGAGAGACCGTGTCCATTAAAAAAGAAAATCTCCGTCCATTGTACAATGAGAAACAAGGGGGAGGGTGTAAAAGGAGAAGAAAAAAAAAAAAAAAGAGTTGGAGGGTGAAAAAGTGAGTGAGCTCAATTATTAATATGCAGACTTTACAAGATCTAATAGCAGGGTTGGGAAGTGACATTCTGCATGGATTAATGTTTCATAAGACTCCCTGGCTAAGTTGTTTCTTTCTTTTTTAAATACACATCCATAATGCACGTGCCGTGGCGGGGGATCGGGTGTCCTCACACGGTGTACAGTCCACGTGGGACGCGCAACACGACTCGCACGATTATGAGGGAATATTTGAAAATTTCATTTGATCGAGAACATGGATGTAGTCAAGCAATTTATTTGTCGATGCACAAACCCTGAAAAAAATCCAAACCGCAAAAGAACTGTTTCATTTGGAAAATTGTCCCTTTTTTGCGTGTGAACTTTTCATTTTGTTGTTGAAATGAGAATAGTTAACCATTTCATTAGTTGATGCACCTCGTTCCCCGCACACATCCACAAAAAAAAAAGTCAAAAACAAAAGGGTGGATACAGTTTTGTTTTTTTCTTTTGCATTAAAATTTGAATTTTACAGAGGAAATGGTCTGCTTTTATCATTATATTTATTGACGCACCTCCTTTGCACCACAACCACCTTTAAAAAAAAAAGGCCAAACTCAAGTTGTGTCTACTGATTATTTTTTGTAAATTGTGTCATTATATATTTAAATTTTTATTTTGTCGAGGACATGCTCCTTTTTAACTATTGTATCTGCTGCTGAACCCCCTTTCAGCAAAAAAAAAAAAAAAAAAGGCCAAACTTAAGTTATGTCTACTGATTATTTTTTGTAAATTGTGTCATTATATATTCAATTTTTATTTGGTCGAGGACATGCTCCTTTTTAACTATTTTATCTGCTGCCACACCCCCTTTTCTGGGGAAAAAAAAAAGGCTATGTACCTGAGAGGCAAGTCTCCTCATGGACTCCTCCTGGCGCCGCCTCATCTCAGGGGTCCCAGGACAGCTGCCTCCCCCCAGCGTGCCATGCGTGGGCTGTGGCTGGCTGAGAGGGAGCCCCTCGCCATCTGGACATGCAACCACAGACATTCCCAATCAAAATATCGTATTTCAAAACGTTTTTTGTTGTTGTTTGAAATATCATATTTGAAAGAACTTTACGTTTAGGCGAGGCCTGCGGGCTGTCAGAGGCGATCTGTCGCATGCGCGTGCCATGGCAGCTGAGCGCCACCAGGCGAGAGACGATGGCCGTCTTGCCAAAGCCGATGTTGCCAACGACCACCACGCCTCGGCTGCTGCCGGGATGATTGAGGTGACCGTCGATCTCCCGGAAGAGCCACTCGCGGCCAGTGAACACGGAGTCCACCGTGATGGACGGCACTTCAAAAAGCAGCGGTTTCAGGGTGATGTCTTGGGGCCGGTACGGCGCAAAACGTACTGCTGGGTCAGAAAAGACGAAGAAGTTTCACTTGGTGGAGAAAAGCATTTCATTGATGAATTAAGTTGCAAACAACAATGACAACGAGGTCTAAGGCAAGGTCTAATCTTGGTTTGGCATTCGGCAGCTTTGTGCCGTCCTTGAATGGAAATTTCTATGCAAGGGAACCTTTTGACCTGGAGGTGGAATCACAGTATGCCATTTTCTCATGCACTTCAAACCCTTACTGTTGAATGGTGGATCATATATTGAGAGTTGTCAGGTGAAAAACGAAATATATTAAGAGCGTGTATTTTGCGCGTTGGCATTTTTTCCCCCTGATTTTAAATGGCATTTTTGTCATACATCTGGTTAGATGTCAAATTAGGGTTTCAAAGTAAAGCTTGACGCAAAAGTGTTTCAAGAATCAGTGAGGACTTCATAATTGTAGTTCCACATTAAGGATTCAAGTTTCAGTAGACAACACTGGGATCGATTGTGATATTTTGTCAGCCCCTTTCATCACACATTCCTGGCGATTAGACAAAAATGCGGAACCTCAAGAACATTTCACACAGACCCAGGCAGCACTGTTACTTCACGCTGCCCTATTCTGACACTAGGGGGAGTTGCTAGATTACATTTGTGACGGGTCAGTATCGGTGACAATGTGGGACACAAATAATGGGATGTGATGGGACATAAAGGTGACCTTAAGGGACACTAAGGGACAAAACAGGAAATGATGAGACATAATTGGGGACATTGTGGGACACTATGGAATAAAATGGGACATGCAAGGGGATAACAATGGACACTACTGTGCAAAATAGGACATATTGGGACATAATGGGGCATTATGACACACAACCTTGGATATTATGGGACGCTATGGAACAAAATGTAATACAATGGGACATAATAGGGGACATTATGGGACACAGACACACAATGTTACTCACGTGACTGCGACTGCCAGGCATGGGAGTTGTTTGCGGAACCTGAGGCAAAGCAAAGAGGACACAAAGCGTGTTAAGGGGGGGAGGAGGGGGGGGGTGTCAAGTGAAGGTGGGAAAAAAAAAAAAAAACCCAAGAAGAAGCAGCAGACTATTTAGTGCTGTGGAATGTCAACATTCCGCGTCTGTACATTTGGGGAGGGGAAAAAAAAAATTCCATCGGTTGCGATTTGTTATGACTCAACAAAGGTGGGGAAAGTGATTGTCGGGTGTTAGACTTCACATTCCTGTTCCATTCCTCTGCAATTTCTTTCATACAGGAGCTGTCCCGCCTTTGACACTATCCCTATGAAGCTGGCAAATGGACCTTTCCATCAGTTCGTCACATGACTGAGTCGACCAATTCTGACTTCCTGCGTCACAGTTGCGAACGCACCTCATTACTGAAAACCTGACCAAAAACAAAGAAAGCTGCTCTACAAAACACCATTTAGGTGAGTCAACATTATGACGTTACGACAACCGTAGCATATTAGAAACCTGCCAGAACAGATTAGTGCTCAGTATTACAAATCATTGAGAAAATCGGCATTGATTAGGAGGCATATAAAGTTTGTTCCCCCCCCGTGAATCATGGTGAAGCATCGCAGTCTTATGTAACAGCGGTAACTGAATTCATGAGCGAATGGAAGGTGTCAAGTTTATACCCTTTTCGAAAACCGAAAAAGCAATTGACGAGGAAAGTCGAGATCAACACGACGGGCCAAATCTGTTGAGAAAAATTACATTTGGTGTGAAACACCTACACAAGAATAAGCCGAGAAAATGAGAGCTCGTGTTTTAGGGGTTAAACATGTTTTGCTAGGTTTGTTCTTCACAACTCCTCTAAGCGCGCCTTTCCGGACCTGGTTTTGTGGTTTCGAGGTTTTGAACCGGCGGAAGAGGTGTGTCTGTACATGATGCAGCATTTATGCGCAGTGTTTGGCAAGGTTTCTAAAGTACATTAGTGTGTCCTTTGCAAATGGCTCATTGCTAAAGAGCCCCAGCTAAGGTGCGATAATGAGCCCATATTTCCTCTTGATCGTTTTCCTTGAGCCGCAGACAGTTGCTCTGCTGCTCTTTGTCTCTAAAGTGCTGCTCGTAAAGTTTCCAGGAATCCTCAGAAAAAGGAAGAAAGCCCCGCACTTGTGCTGATGCAAGGGCCCTCTGTTTGGGTGAAAGACAGAACGTGACGCAACAAAAAAAACCTACATTCTGCGCAACTGTTTTAAGTGTGGCTAATCCAATTAAACTCGGGGAGCCTCAAAGTGTCCGCTTCACGGCAAGAGTCAGGGCTTCAAACTGAGGTGAAGGTTTGAACTTGGGGATCATGCAAACATTGGGTTTCCAAATTAAGCCCGTGTTAAGGATTATGGTTTCAAATTAGGGCTTTAAATCAGTTTTAGTGTTTCCACCCGGGGTAAGGCTGTCAAATTAGGCTTACAAACCCGGGAGAGGGTTTCAAACTAAGGTTAGAGGTTCAAGACTAGGCTCCAGTTTTGCAAAATTTGCTACTCCGCGGCATTAGCTACTCCAGGAAAAGACGGCGGCCATGTTGTCAATGAGGCCGCGGGGAATTGTTTACGGAAAGATGGATGCTTCATCGGTCATCAAACACTTCCCAAACGCACCTTTTGCCACCCTAGGGTGACATTGAGCAACACTGCCCACCTCCTCCGCATCCTCCTTCGCCTGCAACCACGGAAAGCTCGGTGGCCAGACGGCCGCCAGACGGCCGCCAGACGTTTGAATTATTCACCAGGTGACAATGACTCACGGTGGCTGAGCGGTCTCGAGCAGGAGGAAGAGGCAAGGATGGAAGAGGAGGACGTGAGGAAATGATGAAGGAAGAAAGAGAATGTTGCAAGAAAGGCTGGTGAAGAAGGCAGGGAGGGAAGAGGAGGATGTCATAAAGGTAGAGGAAGGGTGCAGAGAAAGAAGAGATGGATGAAAGGAAGGAACCAAGGAGTGCAAGATAAAAAGGGAAGGAAGTAAGAGGAGGATGAAAAGAAGATGGAGAAGCAAGAGAACAGTCCAGGGAAGTGAGAGGTGAATGCAAGGAAGGAAGATGGAGACTGAAGAACAAAAGATGCAAGGAAGGAAGAAGCGGTGCCAAGGTAAGGTAGAGGTGAACATAAGGAAGGAGGACACAAGGAAGAAAGGGGAAGGGTGCTGGGGCCATGACGGGAATGGTCAGTCATTGCAGCCATGGAGGTCTCAACCTCAACTTTCAAAATGGCTGCCTGAAAGGTCGTTAAGTCCCGCCTTCCTGCATGTCAGTCTGTGTGCGTGCGTGTGTGCTGTGAGCTGGCACGCACTGACCTCTGAGGTCCTGCCCTGAGCGGCCAGGCCCGCAGGTGGTGCTCTGTCTGGGCATGCGCAGCGAGGTGCGCAAGGGGGTGTGCCTCTGCTCGTCAAGGTAGGCCAGGTCCTCCAGGTGGGCCGAGCTGGTGGCTGTATGAAAGGGGGGGTTGGGGGTGGAGTTATTGTCACAATCAAGTACGAAAGAAAATACACGCAGCACAATATTAAGTGCACACTGTTGTTGTTGCACAACAATTGCCTTTCCAAAAAGTAATAATGCTCAGATTTATAGCAGAACCGGCAATGCACAAGCGATCATAACAATAAAACACAATTTATTTTGGTTCATTTTCCTTAATTTCTCGGTAAATAATTCATGAATCTGGAAGATAACATTTACTCTTGGCTCGGAAGAACGTCTGTGCCCGACCGAGTGCCGCTCTAGTGTAACGTGCTGTTGCATGCAGACCTGGTTGTCATGTTTTTATTCGCTATATGAGAAGCTCATAAGATTATAAACAGCTCTCAGTATGAGTTGCCGACCACCACAAGCTACCACCACAAAAACAAACATTAAAGCTGCCTGCAGCAATGAAGTACAAAGCACAACAAAATAACCTCAAAAAAGGCACTTCTAAACATCACGGTCGACTTCCTAATTGAAATGGATGGAAGCGGTGATGACTGGGCCCCGGCACCACCATTTTCATGGCAAATCCTCCAAAATGATCATCAAACTTTGACACCATTCTCCACCCACGTGACACGTCGTAGGCAAGAGCCTCGGCAAATTAGAGTCGCCCATCTGTCTGGGACTCTTCTTCCAATTGCGGCTCATTTGGGCAAATTCCCTAGTAAGAGTTGGAATCTGCGCAAAATGGCTCCTTCAAAACAAAATGGCCGACTTCCTGTTCAGTTTGGAGCTTGGGTCCTTGAGGCTTTTTCGCGAGTCCTGTTATACTTGGATGTAAGCGCCTGCAAAAAGTGAAGACTTTTCGGGCATGTCTCCCCGGTGCTTAGGTACAGAAAACTATTTTGAGAACGATTATTTCATTTTTTCGAGATCCTTGAAGGCTACTAGTGTGTAACATGCCCACTAAATAGGAGCCTTGTAGTGTTAGCTGTGGGGCCCGGCCGGTATTGATTGTTTTGCAGATTACGATATTTGGCAGAATAAAGTTTGGATGATCAGTTAATTGGTCCGTTTTTGGGATGTCACTGACTATTTGTCAACTGTGGGCTCGTGAAGCCCCTTGAGATCTTTTTTTTTTTTTTTTTTTTAATTAATACACATAAACTTGACTTCAAAATTACACAATGAATAAAACAAATTCTTTTTTGGTTCCTTAACACTTACAAAAATGAAGATATGCTTTACAGGCAGAGCGTTTGACTGTTCATACGTCATATTTTGTCTTGTAGTGTCTGATAAACTTTACAACAGAGTGAGAAGGAAGCAGATTTTTAGAATGTTAGAATGTCATTAGCGTTGCGTTCTGCTGTGATGTGTAAAAAAAAAAAAAATGGTGGCAAAATATTTAGGCTGATTTTAAAAGCGTGAATATCAGCCTATCCAATTCGTATTGCCACACAGTATGACTTGCTGACCACCGGTTGGAAGGCCTAATCACATTCCACAGTTAGGTCGGCCTAAAGTGGCACTAGCAAGCAGAAAACTCAACATTAGTCAGACAGAATCATTCGACTATGCCAGTGCTAGTCCTCCTACTAGTGCGTTGACCTATCTTACTTGTGAGGACAAAGAGCGAACTAGTACATAGGCCCTAAGATGTATTTCAGGGATATCGAATACACCATCAGCTTTCTATGCAGGCTGTGATAATGTTAAGTGGCCAGTAAGTGCGCATGGGAAAAGCGCTTGCAACAAGATGGACTCCAGAAGCGTTCCCCCGCCAGAGGAAGCCTCGGCGGATGCGATCGCCCGCCCTGTAGAATTCCCTCCTCTCGCCGTCTGTCACTCGGCAGATCTCTCAGGATTAATTAGCCACACAGATGAATGTCTTATTCATGAAGCCCGGCGTTGGCTGCTGATTGTTTCGTGGCCAATATGCAATGAGATTAGATCGGCGCGGACGTGATAGACCTTCACAGCCCAAGCCCGCGTCGTGACAAACGAGGGCACAAACGATTCCTGATAACGAACATCAGCAGGGATGAAGGGAGGCCGGCAAAAGAAAGGAGAAGGAGACCACCACCGGGTTTTTAACTGAATAGATGGATTAGTGTTGTACAAGCAAGGAGATAATTTCTTGAAGAAAAAAAAAACTATCCAAGTGAAAGCTGTTGTGCGTGCCGATCCACTTCAGATAAAATCTAATCTAATCTAACATCTCCATGCGACAGCTATCCAGTCGTTATCGTTGTACTCACACAACAACAACTCAGCAGACTGACAATTAAAGGCCATTTGGAGTTCAAATTACTTCACAAACAGATCAGATGTTCACTTCCAAGTTCCCCCACTGCCAAAAGCGAACCGGACCTAAATCTCCATATCATTTTGAGAGGTTGAGACCACCCCTTCTGTGACATCAACCGACGAGGAGCCTGACAGGCAGACACTAACTCGGAATTATTTACATAGTCGACATTATCATGAACGCCATTAGTTGGATGCTTTGAAAGGCTCTACCTGGCCAGTGCTTGCTATTTTAACACCACTAATCATTATTTGCGGTCCAAATAGCACTGAGACTCAGTTCCCCATTCCTGAAAGTATTTTTCTTTAATGTTGGTGGTCCTTATCACCATATTCCAATTGTGAATAAAGCACGTTTTATACCATCATAATAGCATGTTAGCATGTCCTGGTAATTCTGCAAGCGCATCCCACCTACCACCAACCCTAGAGGAAGACACAGCAACAGCAGCCCCTCTGCCCTGACCTGGTTCTTCCTCTCGTTCCAAGTGTCATCAGGCTTCTGCTGACGAATCAAGTGTACTTCTAAGGGCCAAAGAATGAGCTGCACGGGCTTCCCAAAGTGGAAGTTAAATGGCAAATGAGGACATTGAAAGGCACGCCCTGGAGGGGTTGGAGCGTGTCGAGGGGGGGGTCTATAACTTAGTCTCTGAGAGGAGCAAGAGGAGACATTAATCTGCTGCTAAGCCAAAGGAGGAATGACTCAGGGCCACTGAGCTGAAAAGGCTCCATTTTCTCAATTTTCAATGTGAGGACTCCAATCTGTGTGCTCATCTTGTCTATCTGCAATGCAGCAGTCTGTTCGCATCACGTCCGCCGCTGCTGTGCCAACGGGATAAGTCTGCGCGGAGGCACATTGGCGGGAGGAAAAAGAGGAAGCAAAGGTGGTGGGAAGGAAAGAAGAGGAAAAGATGTTTAAACCGGTGGAAAGAAGGTTAAGCAGGTACGTAGAAATAAGATTTGAATAGGAAGGGGGCGGGGGGACTCTTTAAACCTGTTAAAGGAAAGGAAAATGTTAGGAGGGAAAGAGGAGAAAAAAATTTAAATTAGAGTGAAAGGAAAGAATGCTATGAAGTAAACATGGAAAAAAAAAACATGAGGGGAAAACTAACTGGTGGAAGCAGGTAGCTCCGCCGGTGGGTTGGAAAGGGGGATATTAGAAAGGAAAAACGAAACCAGTAAGGTGGAAGAAAACGGCTTGAAGGAAGCAAGGAAGGAAGCAAGGAAGGAAGCGAGGGTGGACAGGAAGAGAAAAGCAGGAGTGAAGGAAGGAGAAAGAAAGGAAAAGAGAAGACCACTGTAAGTGGAGAAGGAAGGAAAGAAGAAAGGCAGGAAGGAAGGAAGAAAAAGCAAGGAAAGAAAGAGCGTGATTGGCACATTGTTTGACAACGTGATAATATAATTACGCCTGGAAGTCAATAATGGCGGCTGCAAGCTTGCCCCGTCTACCACGAGGACTTCGCGTGCTGAGTAATGGAAGTGAGGCATTTATTGGAGGATGGAGAACGGCTTTCCTCCTCCTGATGGGAAAGCGCTGCTGCTGTGCCCGCATGAGGTAACGGATGAGCCACCGCCTCACTTCCTGCCCCCCCCTACCTCGCACATGAAAGCGTGGCTTCCTCACTCGGGGGGATAGAAGCCGTTAACGCCCGAGGCTTTTGATGTACCGCCGCCCACGCAAAAGCGCCCAATGGGAAGCCGGCCGGCGTCATGATGGCTCTTTACCGTGGGGAAAAGCGAGAAGGAGGAATGATGGAATTGTGCCATTTCAGGCTTTCCCGGTCTTCCCATCATGAATCTTTTAAAGTGCTTGACGAAGGCGACCCGCGTCATCATGCGCTCAATGCTAACATACTGCAACACCAGCAAGTACGAGCAGGAAACCAACATTTCCAAACTCCTACCGTGGCTTCACACAGCCAACCCAAGCTTGAAAACCCGCCCCTTATCTCCAAACCCCAATTTGAATTCTGATTATGAAAGTTCCTCACGAAGGCAAAAGGCAAGCAGGAAAAGAAAGGAGCAAAGAGGTTGGGTGCTGAAATATGTCACTGCTGCGAGTGTTTTCAAAAGCTGAGCAAGCATATTTCTGTGAGGGAGGGAGGCAGGGAGGGAGGGAGGGGGG